ATCGAATAGATCAAACGATAGTACGCTCTTTTTTTTTATTTTACTTTTTCATGATAGTAATAACAATGTTTGAAAACATTTAAAAAATTAAGATAATGAAAAATTATTGATAAATAGATAGAGGAAGAGAGACAAAGAAAGTCAAAATTTAAAGTGGCGAGTAAACAGTAAAAAAATCGTTATTATCCAGTAAACGGAAGCTGTGAGTATGGAAGTTGAAGTGAAGGATGGGTCGCAGACTAGATATTGTCAGGATAGTTTGTTTTATGTTTTGTTAGAAAACGGAAAGAATTCAGATATAAACGAATAAAATCGGTAAAATTCCGAGTGAATAATTGAGAAAATAGGTGATATCAATATTTATAAAGATTGGATAAATCGTTATAGGTAAGGCGATTTTCTAAGCGTGAATTAGACGTGGCACAAGGCCGAAAATATGGGGCAACCCATGAGGATCGAACTACCCAGTTGTAATTGTTTTTAGACAACCTTGCTTACCATTGCAACACTTCGAGGCGCCATATGATTTCCTAGCGTAGATTAGATGTAGCACAAGGCCTGAATATTGGGCACCCAGAAAGGATCGAATACCCTAGTGAGTCGTAATTGATCTATCAAAGCAGGCTAGATGTGACACAAGACCGGAAGTATAGGGCCCCCAGTGAGGAACGAACTCACTATTCAGTACTCATTGATCTAGCGAGAGAGGTTAGCTAACCATTACACCTCGTCGAGATGTCAAAAATGATTTTTTAAGGGTATCTTCGATGTGTCATAAGGCCCTAAATATTGAGAACCCAGTGACTATGGCATTCACTACCCAGTTGCAATTGTTTTGAGACAATCTTGCTTACCATTGCAACACCTCGAGGCGCCATGTGATTTCCTTAGCGGAGATTAGATGTAGCACATGGCCATAAATATTGGACACCCAGTAAGGATCGAATACACTAGTCAGTCGTAATTGATCTATCAAAGCAGGCAGGATTGATATCCATCACACTACGTTCAGCTGTCCAAAACAAATTTCTAAGCGTAGCCTAGATGTGTCAAAGGACCAAAAGTCGGGGCACCCAGTGAGAAACGAACTTACTATTCAGTTGTTTTTGATCTAGCGTGACAAGTTTACTAACCTTTACACCACGTCTAGATGTCCAAAATGAGTTTTAAAGGTCATCTTAGATATGTCACAAGGACGTAAATATTGGGCCTCCAGTGAGGATCGAACTCACTACACAGCCGTTATTGTTACATTGCGTGGAAGTTCCCATTAAAGTTAAAGATATGGTGATTTTCTAAACATAATTTAAATGTGGCACAAGGCCGAAAGTATAGGGCACCCAGTGAGGATTGAACTCATTTTACAGTCATAAACGATCTAGCGAGACAAGCTTCCTAATGATTGCACCACGTCGAAATTCCCCCAAATCGTTACAAATATGGTGTAACTCCAAATGTTACACATATTGCAAGACGGCCAAATCTTATTTTTGGAACAGTGGATAAAGACCTTTCTAAAATAGTAATGAAAATTCATAGATAATATATAAAAATGAAATTTATGGAAATCTCTCACTGGTTACGTTCTGAAAACGAATTCATCATTTTCTATGTGTCGTATCCATTTAGGATGTAGTTGATCAGGGGCCTGCGCAGGTTTCCTATAATTTGTCTGTTCCAGGCCCTGTACGGTTACGTCCGCTAATTAGATAGGTTACTCGCTGATTTCCTCAGTTTCTCTAGTCTTCAAGCTTATATCCATATCATGTTGAAATACGGACTCTTATACGATCGCCGAAATTAAGCAACCTCGAACCTGGTCAAGCAGTTATATCGGTGACAGGCTGGATGCGCAGTTGGTGTAATGGATAAAGTTTCCTCGATTCAATCGTGTTTTTTATATTCGCTTAAGCGCAAATATTCTTGGTAAAGGTCTGGATCAGTCTCTTCTCCTTCCCAGCTATGGATTAATTAGTAGGAGTTGTATAATTTTTGTCTCAAAATAAATTCTTACACTTTCAAAATATTACTGGCTTTATATTATATAACTTGCAACCGGTTGATAAGCCGTAAAAAAGCATAAACAATCTATTCCCCTAGATTTCTTTGTGAGTCAATTCTCTAAGCTCCATTTTCCTAATTATATTCGTCCTGGGCATGACGATAAAATATATCCGGCAAAAAGGCCTCTGATCAGGTAGCTTTGAGGAGTGTAGAATTACTCTTAATATCTGTTGTTCCCAGGTTCAACCTGGTCTGAGGGTAGTAAATGTTAGGCTCTCAGCTATGGGCAAATAGTGAACGCTCTAACTGGGGTCAAAACATTAGGAATTATAAAAATACATTTTTATAGTAAAAATACATTTTTATAGTAAAAATACTTTTTTATAGTAAAAATACTAGCAACACATTATTAAAAAAGGAAGAGAAAAATTACCAGCAATATATTTTTGAAAAAAAAATCGCCAACTCTCAAAGAAATATTTCGGTATTTCATGACTCATAAATAGATGATATGCTGTTACAAAAAGCAAATCCAAACTGATTATGTGTCCGGCAAATTACAACAGTCTCTTCCTGATACTATATATCAGTGTTCTTATTTTTCCATTTCCCTAAAAAGTTCCTCTCTATTCACATGTTTAGTTCATTGCATTCTCAACCTATTTCGGTGGAACCACATTTCTGTTGTTACAAATCGCTTCTTCATCTGCGAGATTATCTAGCTTCTAACATACTGGAAAACTGAAATTACATAACATTTCAATATTCCTTTCTTTGTTTCTTTTCGAAGTTTTCTTGTTTCTAAATACTTTACTCAGTGTTTGGAAGCCTCTTTCGCTATTCCAATACACTTTCGTAATTTCCTGCCACATTTTCATCCTCTGTTAAAATACATCTCACATATTAAAATTTTCTTACTTATTTCATTATGGCATCTCAATTTCATATTTCGCTGTTTGTCTTGCGTATAATCTTACAATTGAGGGGCAGCTTTTTCTTGCATTAAATAAAGAAAAAGAATCTGAAGCAAAGGTCTCAAATTCCCCGGCAAAAAAATGACCATCGTCGCCAAGAGATTGCCACTATGGAGCTGACGGACTTCGTAATTAGGGTGCACAGATTGCCAATAACAGTCCGCCGACTCACTTAGGGAAAGGTTACAAATCAGGGTTCCTTGGACCCACATACCTAAGTTTTGTGAGTTTTGTATTTGCGAGGAAGGGAAATTGAGAAAGGAAAAGAGTGAGACTGAGTGAAGGCGTATGGAAGAGAAAAGGAAAGTTATGTTGAGTAAAGGGGTGTGGAAGAGAAAGGGAAAGAGTGAAACTGAGTGAGGGGTTGTGGAAAGAGAAAAGAAATAGTGAGACTGAGTGAAAGTCGTGTGTAAGAGAAAAGGAAAGAGTGAGACTTAGTGAAGGAGTGTGGAATAAAAAAGGAGAGAGTGAGCTTGAGTGAATGGTTGTGGAAGACAAAGGGAAACAGCGAGACTGAGTAAAGGGGTGTGGAATAGAAAGTGAAAGAGTGAGACTTAGTGAAGGAGTCTTGAAGAGAAAAGGAAACAGTGAGACTGAGTGAATAGATGTGGAACAAACACGGAATAGGTAAGACTGAGTCAATGTTTGAGGAAGAGAAAGGAAAATGAGGCTGAGTGATGAGGTGTGGAAGTGAAAGGGGAAGTGTGAGACTGAGTGAAGGGGTGTGGAACACAAAGGGAAAGAGTGAGATTGAGTGAAGATGTGTGGAAGAGAAAGGAAAAGAGTGAGACTAAGCGAAAGAATGCGGAAGAGCGATGAGATGTCAAGACTCCCGCGCGTAGCCCAGTCGTTCGGGTTTATAAAATACACTTTGGGTAAACAAAATGCAAAATTAATGCGTAATTAAAAATTAAAATAATCATCGATTGTCAAAAGTTTTTATTTTTAAGGTCTACATCGATTGACTATTTTTGCATGCAGAAGCGTGCACACAAATACACATTCATTCATATATTAATATACAGGGCGTTATGAAAAATACTTTTACAACATCATGGGTGGGATACTCTAATAAAAACAAGTATAAAAGTTTATATAAACCTCGACATTTTGTGCAATAAACCATCGGCAATACTACTTCCGTCGTGTGTGATCAAAAGGACAAAATAACCTGCAAATGTTTCAAATAATACAGATACAGGAGCTGCACTTGAATTACCCAACATGCTAGGGTCAATTGACGTGTTCTGATACCTGCATCGACCCCGATAGCCTGAAGAACGTGTTGTTCATGGTCAGGCGTACGAGCGGATCTCGATTCTCCTTGATCCATAATTTGTGGTGCCACGGATCCTGTCTCAGCATTGTGATGATAAACAGATGCAAAGTTTGGATGATTCGGTTGCCTTCAGTCTGGAAACGCAGTCTGATACAGCCATGCAGTCTCGCGTCCATTACCATTCGCGTGGCCGTATGTAAAAATTATATCTGCCTGCTCAAAAATTGAATATCCCGCCATTGTTGAACAGAACACTTGTCAGTTAACCGACTGCTACACACGTCAAACGTTGAAGACAGACTAGCCAAAAATATAGACAAATGACACATTTAACAAGTGTACATGGCATCACAGCGCCATCTGCCGTAAATATTCTTTAAACATTATTTTTCATACAACCTATAGATAGGTGGTGCAACTGATTGCGTTTTCGATTGAGGAATCGGGGAATTAGACTCCCTTACTTGGGAAACGTGTGAATCCATCTATCCCCTCACTCAAAACGATCCCTATGTAAATAGTAGGGCATAATTGGTTCTATTGATTTGTATCTTAATCTGTATAGGTGAAGGAAAATTCTGAATTCTAACCAGCCTGTAAAATACGAAGGAAATTTATAACGCAGTACACTCTGAGATTATCTGGCATCCATTGCCGTCCGTTTTCTCTCTCAGATGTCACACACTTATGGGCCTTCAGATAGTATACGCAGCGTGTTGCTCAGCGCAAACCATTGCAACCATACCACCCTTCGATGTACTCCTATATATATATATATATATATATATATATATATATATATATATATATATATATATATAGAAAAATATACGGAAAAACAAACAAAAAATCCTAATATGCAATTATGCTGTTTTAATGTTAATATAATGTCAACGTCGGACGTTTTCGGTCTAATAGACCATCTTCAGGACATATTCATAAAACATAATTAACATTAGACTATATTCAATTCAACATGATAGACACAAGAGCAAGACTAATCCAAACAGATAACTGAAATTTTAATATTTTCAGCGTTCCGTTTTCATATGATCACGTCGTCGTCACATGGGCGATGTTGTGAAAACGTATTCGAAGATGATTTCAAAATATTGGATAATATATCCATATATTTGCTTACATATATATATATATATATATATATATATATATATATATATATATATATATGTGTGTGTGTGTGTGTGTGTGTATGTATGTATGTATATTTCCATTAAATATATGCTATAATCGATCATTTATTCGTAATATTCAAACGGATATTGGAAGAATTTTCCTGAATTTAATTCATAAGCACTTTAACCATTCACCAAGATTAAAACGGGCGCTTAGTAAAAATAATGATATAATCAGGGTTAGCTGCGTTAGTATAATCTATATTCCAACATTATATTAAATAAATATATTTCCAAAAAAGACATCGTTATTTTTAGAAACGCTGAAATATATGGATGTCACTTAAACTGCCGATGTATGACTAATAATATTGTCTACCGAGCTGCCATAAATTCGGGTAACGATGTTAAATTCTGTTTTGGCTCCACTAAAAATCCTTGGAAATTTCGTTTCTACCCTCATCCAATGACTTTAGGCAATATAAAATTCAAAAAACATCACTGCTCACTATAAACATTTTCGGCAATTAAATAACGGTGATAATATACCTATAATGTAGCAAGAGCCAAATCTTACAATTGGAAAGACAATTGATTTTAATTATGTCTGACTACAAAGTTAGTTATCTTAAAACACTTAATAAACTAGAGAAATGAAACGATGGTTATATGCAGACATAAAAATAAAAATAAACATGTGCTCAAATACGTTGATCTAGATTAAATTTTAGTGTAAATTATGTTTGTTGTTCATTTTTTGCATCTGAAGAAGTAATCCCTCTTTATGCTTAATATAAAAAACAATTCTAAAATTTTCTCATATATATATATATATATATATATACCGTTTAATTTAAATGCCAATATATTTTTAAAAAATAAAGATCTCTGTAATCCCACTATAATATGTAACTGCGTCAACATTGCGATAGCAGATATTTTTATTAAATTTTAAATTACGTTCAGTCTATACTCAGTACCTGAAGATTACGTTGTGCATGTGACTCCGAGACATGTTATCGGTGAAAAACTATTTTCTTTTTTAATGAAACGGAAGAAGTGTGAGGATTAATGTCATTCCAAAACTTGTATGCTCCCGGATTGAACACTAACATAATACAATCACTTTTAACTCGATGAAGGAGTTGAACTGAACAGCGTTAATCTACTGAGATTCCATGGACGATATTTTCTTTAAATGTTACAAGTTCCAACAACGCACTTTCAAAATAAAGTGTGTAATTATGTCCGAGAAATCTTGTTCTCATGTATTTTTTGAGCGTAAAATGTTTTCAGGAGAAAAGATGGTCGCCATCAAGTCCCGATCTTTATTCGATCGAAAATCTACGGACTGAAGCAAAATATTTATCAAAAACAATGGATAATAGTTTACTGGCTGCTAATGCGAAGAATGTTTACTATATTAAGATGCAAATACTTCAAAGACTCATCATATATTTTTGTTATTTCTTCTATGATAGGTGTTGATCAATTGCTGATGAGTTTTAGAGATTGTTATTGAAGGAAAAATTGATTTTCTGTTTTGCATAATAATTTCAGACGGTAGTTTTCATAAAACATGGTGAAACTATGTAAATATTTCACCAAATCTTTGTAAATTAATCGTTCAAAATTTGATAAAAGTTTATCGAAAAAAAACTTCGAGTTAATGAGTTTTATGCGATTTGCATAACTTCAAACGGACCGTACACCCTTGTTCAAAATAAAAAAAAAAACGAATAATTTCGTTAGTATATACTGTTTTCGTAACTTTCCAATTAAACATGACCATGTGCTCATGTTAATATGTCTTATGTCCATTCCACGAAGTTGTTCCTGCAGATTGATCTCAGATTTTCGATTGGATTTAAGTAAGGCGAGTTCTAGGCCAGTCGATAGTATTTTTGATTTGCTCACTGGTAAGGCTTGCCAGTGTGTTACAATTGCCCCATACTTCCTTGAATTAACGTCCATTGCAGACAATGACCTTAGGACAACTAATCGACAGTCGAGTCAATAGTGTCCGGACGTGAATAAAATCTGATGCAATCACGGATGACGCAATATCCGAGGAAAAAAAAAATCTGTTACACCTTGTTACATCAGTGGGTTTAAAAGTGATTGTATGGTGAATGATAGGAAACTGAACGGTTTATTCAATTAATTGCACTAGGCTGTATTTCCCATATCTCTTTATCAAATACGACCAAGGCTCTTGATGGTTTACATTTCTTTTAATATCTGTAAATTGCCCTTACTTCTTGGGACATGTGGTGGAATCGTTTATAATACTCTTTTCCATAGTTTGGAATCCAGACATTTTCCTTCTTTGAAATTGGATGCCAACTTGAATGTATAGTCTTTTCTGCATAACCTGTATCTGCCAGAAGATGGTTTATGTTTTCTCCAAGGGGAATAGTATGATGATTGAAAGCGAAGGCCTTGGTTCGAATCTCACCATGGTCGATTTATCAGGCACATAGCGGAAAAATCATGCGATGTCTTTAGCCAAGCTATATGAGTGAAATTGCGTACGAGAAATTGTCTGGAAGTCATCATTAATTGCTGCTGACACATAGCCATAATTTCAATTTGGATCTACTGATTTAAAAAAAAATTGTTAGTCACCAAAACGGTGAATGAGTTCTGGCTTACGTAGTTACAGAATAAATCAATTTACTTCTGTGGGTATTAAAGAAACACGAATATGTGTGAGCATGTAATTGCAACAGAGATTTTGTTGCTAACTCTACCAGAAGTCCCAGCCCGGAAACTAGTAGCCAATCAATATTTGTCAATGATTATAGTGTGATGAAAGTTAAAGAGATATATTTACAATTTGAAATCGGCAAGTTAATTCTGTGTTTGTCTCAATAACCATTACGCCATACGCTCATACCATGATTGTCTTTTACAATGGCGTAAAATATTTGTTGTGATACTTAAAAATAATCTCATCATATAAAGAGGAAAAAATATATCGTAAATGGAAAACCAAAAGAAAAAAAATTAAAAAATATAAATATAAATAAATAAATAATAAACTGAAAAACGATCTAGTAACATTTAGTATCACCAAACAATAGCGTAATGTATGTCATATAAGGCGCTTACAAAAGAAAAACCTCCATTATTTAATCATAAAATATTCAAGAAATCGAGGAAGCAATTAAAAGCACATTATCGTAAGACAAAAAACTCATTCATTCGACGTATTCTATTCAGACAGATATCCGATTTTATCATTAACAAAAATCTCTATGGCTAACTTGAAAGTAGTTGTCTGCAAACCGCTTCCCAAGAGATGGAATGTGGCATAAATATTTCGTTCGCCAAATCTCTATTTCCGAGCAAGATTTAATGTTTTCAAAAGGTCGTAGACTATAACGTTCTCTGAGTCATGAGAAAAGGGAAGAATATAGTTGAAAACATACTCGAGCATATCATTAGTAAAAAATTAATTAGAGAAATTCAGAAAATTCAAGGCAACGACTACATTTATGACAATTATATTTTTTTAATATCACACAACTTTAGAATAATGAGACTCGGGAGATCAATTATGAATGCGTGTTTTAACAGAGAACCTAAAGTGTGACACGGAAATCCAAAGGCACTCTGGGATAGCCATATGTGGTCAGCTACGCGTAATCTTTCTATTTCCCCTCGTGTTATGGCTTTACGGTGTTCTTGAAAGACTTACGGGGGCGGTCTGTTTCTCCTTTATATTTCTAACCACAATTGCACGGGATGGAGTACGCGCAGTTCTTCGTCATATTCTCCTATATGACAATAAAGATAAGGACAAAAATACGGACAATGTAAATAATGTAAATAATTGCAATACTTCATCTCATAAATATAAACAAATAGATCTGTTTTTCTTTATTATCCATGAAGTGTTCTTAAAATCGGGTGTGCATTTAGTTACCGTTACTTTCTTCATGATTTTAAATTCAACTAGACTAGCTGACACCCACGTCTAAAAAACTGAATCTACATGCAATGTACCCTATATCGAGAGAACAATAGAAATAGGTTTGTTCCTTTACTAAAAACACTAGTGTGAAGTGAAGATAACTGATATCATCGAAATTAAGCAATGTCAAGACTGCACAGTACCTAGATGGGTGACCGCATGGGAATATAAGGTGCTGTAAGTTTAGATGTGCGGCTGGTATAATGGATAAGGAAATTAGTAGACATCCAAAGGACCCAAAGCAAGTGAGTTCAAAACCCGGTTAAGGCAGTGGAGAACTTTCGGAGAGAAATTAACAGGTGATAACTGATAACTGACATCCATTAAAAATGGCACGTGAAACTAGAACAGTCTACCTCAGTGAGCAAAATAAAGGGTTCAGTTCGACATTCCAACCACCTGAAGAAAGCTGGAACGTACAGCGGCAGAAATGTTGTAATGAATATGGCGACAAAGATTAGGACAATAGTCTGAATAATATAAATAATGTACAAAATACATTATCACGGAAATATAGACAGATACTGAAAGGCCGAAATGTTGTAATAAATATTGTGACAAAGACGAGGACAATAGTCCGAATAATGTAAATAATTTACATAATAACTCATCTCAGAAATATAGTTAG